TAGGCGTGATTGAGGTAGCCAAAATGTAAAGTTTTAGGTGGGAAAAAATATTTTAACACTCATTTTGATTCATTGGATTAGTAATTTTAAGATGATTTGAACCATCTTTTATGTTGAGATTATGTCTTCTCTTGGATGTTTCTTAGTTTTGTCTTGAAACAATCTAGACCTCTAGTTGTTTCTAAAATTCAAAACTCTTTGTTCTTTATTATATAGATAGATAGATAGATCGATATATAGAGAGAGAGTATGAGATAGAGAGAGTTATATGCGAGATGGGAGAATGTGTTTAAAACGTGAGAGAGAGAGGGGCCAATCAACGAACCTATAGTTTGTTAGAAATAATCCTTGTTAATTATACTATTTTTTTGTTAGAGATTCATGTACTTAGAATTTTAATGGGTTTAGGATAAAGAGAGAGAGAGTATGAGATTGATAGATAGAAGAGTTATATGAGAGCTGAGAGTGTGTTTAAAACGTGTGAGAGATAGGGGAGAGAGAGAGAGTCCAATTAGGATCGACAGAGTTAGGATCATATAGAGATAGATTGGATAAATAAAAATAGACTTCATTCTGTTTAGGATACAGAGAAACATGTGAGAGGGAGAGTCATTAAGTTTGAAAACACTGTCCTACTGCCTTTTGTAGAGTGTATGGGCGGAAATTATTTTAGAGAAAGCTTTGGGTTCGTTGGATTAACAATCTGAGACGTTTGAACGATTTTATAAGTTTGGGAGTTTGAAACTCTTTGTACTTTATTATATATATGGCTCTTGAGATGCACCTTTTTACATACTATGTTGGAGCTTTTATTATTCAACTTTGTTTGATGTTTTTTACGTACTGTCATCTTTTTTTAGTTGTGTCCTGATGCAGATTTCAAATTTTGCATGTGATGCTTATTCTGTAGTTACAATTACCTGCATGATAGTACCAACATCTTTGGTTACTTAGCTTCTTCCTTGTATCATTTGTGGGGTCTACGAAGTTTTGATTAAAATTTGATTGTTAGCTCAGTTATCGACAGAGGAGGTCACGAACGTAGACCCAATAATGAGAAGAAAAACAAAGGGAATGAGGTTTTTGGGGAATACAAAATGATCTCATCAAGAATTACAGAGTGGTATACAATTGCAGTTATCAACGCTTAGTAGGCGAAGAAAATATGTTGAAAATGCCAAACAATTATTTTGGACATCTTGGGACAATGTGGTGCTAACTTCCATAGAAGGATTGATCTCTTTGGTTCATTTGTATAATGTAACTCTCCCCACCCCTCTCTCCATCTCTATCCGAGTATCCTAATGGGTTTGATTTCTACAGTTTCACACTTTGAAGAGGTAGGAGATGCAAATTAAGTTTAACAGGTAATGGTGGTAAGACTTATGAACAGTATAAAGGAGGTCATTATTACGATTTGCTAGTGGTTACTAAAGGCTAGCGATGTTGGTGCACCAGGCTTCTATGAGGGTACTGGAAGAGCAAAATGTGAAGTAGAGGTGGAGATCTGGTTTGATAGCGGCTGACAAATTGTGTTGTTTCTCGCCTTCCAGTACAACTTGATTCCATACTAATACTGGTCTCTGTGGTTCAAAAAAAAAAAAANGATCGATATAGAGAGAGAGTATGAGATAGAGAGAGTTATATGCGAGATGGGAGAATGTGTGTTTAAAACGTGAGAGAGAGAGGGGCCAACAATGAACCTATAGTTTGTTAGAAATAATCCTTGTTAATTATACTATTTTTTTGTTAGAGATTCATGTACTTAGAATTTTAATGGGTTTAGGATAAAGAGAGAGAGAGTATGAGATTGATAGATAGAAGAGTTATATGAGAGCTGAGAGTGTGTTTAAAACGTGTGAGAGATAGGGGAGAGAGAGAGAGTCCAATTAGGATTGACAGAGTTAGGATCATATAGAGATAGATTGGATAAATAAAAATAGACTTCATTCTGTTTAGGATACAGAGAAACGTGTGAGAGGGAGAGTCATTAAGTTTGAAAACACTGTCCTACTGCCTTTTGTAGAGTGTATGGGCGGAAATTATTTTAGAGAAAGCTTTGGGTTCGTTGGATTAACAATCTGAGACGTTTGAACGATTTTATAAGTTTGGGAGTTTGAAACTCTTTGTACTTTATTATATATATGGCTCTTGAGATGCACCTTTTTACATACTATGTTGGAGCTTTTATTATTCAACTTTGTTTGATGTTTTTTACGTACTGTCATCTTTTTTTAGTTGTGTCCTGATGCAGATTTCAAATTTTGCATGTGATGCTTATTCTGTAGTTACAATTACCTGCATGATAGTACCAACATCTTTGGTTACTTAGCTTCTTCCTTGTATCATTTGTGGGGTCTACGAAGTTTTGATTAAAATTTGATTGTTAGCTCAGTTATCGACAGAGGAGGTCACGAACGTAGACCCAATAATGAGAAGAAAAACAAAGGGAATGAGGTTTTTGGGGAATACAAAATGATCTCATCAAGAATTACAGAGTGGTATACAATTGCAGTTATCAACGCTTAGTAGGCGAAGAAAATATGTTGAAAATGCCAAACAATTATTTTGGACATCTTGGTACAATGTGGTGCTAACTTCCATAGAAGGATTGATCTCTTTGGTTCATTTGTATAATGTAACTCTCCCCACCCCTCTCTCCATCTCTATCCGAGTATCCTAATGGGTTTGATTTCTACAGTTTCACACTTTGAAGAGGTAGGAGATGCAAATTAAGTTTAACAGGTAATGGTGGTAAGACTTATGAACAGTATAAAGGAGGTCATTATTACGATTTGCTAGTGGTTACTAAAGGCTAGAGATGTTGGTGCACCAGGCTTCTATGAGGGTACTGGAAGAGCAAAATGTGAAGTAGAGGTGGAGATCTGGTTTGATAGCGGCTGACAAATTGTGTTGTTTCTCGCCTTCCAGTACAACTTGATTCCATACTAATACTGGTCTCTGTGGTTCAAAAAAAAAAAATACTGGTCTCTTTGGCTTGGTTCCCACCCAACCCCACACCCCCCAAAAAAATCTCTCTCCCCCTCTCTCTCTTAATCATTCATCCAATATTTATACGGTCAGGACATATGAGGTTATCCCTGTTGAAGTGGGTGCTCACCACTCTTGTTTAGAATGAGTCAATTTTTTTTCCGGTCTGTCTTGTTCCCCTCCCCTCTCTCTTGAAGTGGGTGGCACATCGCTCTCGTTAATCTAGTGATTGATTTTTATTTTTTCCTTTGTTATGGAGAGGATCAGCACAAGGAAAAATCATCTGGTGGAACCCTTTCGGCCTCAAACGGTGACATCACTGACAGGGGGACACATATAGGAGTGTCAAGTGAGTCAGGTAAAAAATATGTAAATTTATACACGACAAACGTTTAACAAACGGGTGAAAAATATTAACACGAACATGAATTGTTTAATAAATGGATAACACGATAAAATTTGTTTAACCCGTTTAGTTTAAAAAAAAAAATTATAAATTTTTGTGGCTGTTATTAAAAAAAAATTGTGGCTAATTTTTTAAAAATAATTATTAATTTATTATTATATTAATTTTATTTAAATAGGTGATAAACGGGTTAATAAGACTCATCCGAATACGACTTATTTATTAAACATATTTGACGGGTTAATCCGTTTATTACCCGAACTTGTTAAGGTCTTATCTAAACTTGTTTAATTTATGTCGATTAATCGTATTGTGTCAGATTTTGACATCCCAAATACATAGTAGTTATAGCATACCTACATACTTATACTCATGGGTCATTATCCAACTAGTTTTTCATGTGCAGTGTACATTATTTGTCCTCTTCATGAAAGTCTTCGTATATTTTTTTTTTCTTGTTTTAGATTTGCCCCGTCTTTTTCTTTTATTATTCTTTTAACCAAGCATTCCCCACTTTCTGTATGATTTTTATGGTGTTCTCGACTTTGTAGTGTCATTGTATGGGCAGGCAATTTCCCAGTACCAGTATATGCATATGCATATATTTTACCTGTTAAGAGCATACACAATTACACTGATGTAACACATTTAGGTGTATGTCACCTATAAAATGGGATCGGAACTGATGTTGATCTTAAGGTCCTTGGTACATGCGTTCTATCCTTTATTGCTCTCAGAATGAACCATGTCAGAGTGGTTCACTCGCTCAAAATGTATTGCAAGTGTTCACAGTTTAAGGAGCTAGCGAACGCCACGAGATCTTCATCTCAATTTTTTTTTTTCTCAAATTAGATCTTGGTTTTCTTTAAGACAACACGGAGGTTCCAAGGATACCAGGGGAAGCATTTACTGATGCATCATCCTTTGGAAATCAAATGGCAACGAGTTTTCCTATCACTAAGGGTGGAGCCAGGATTTTTGTTTTTTTCGGATTAATCTAAGTATTCATTTGACTAACAAAATACAAATGTAAACTCATAAACATAGCCCACTAATGACCTAAAAATTTGGTTTTTAATGTTGGTCCAAAAATTTTGTTTTTTAATTGTGGCCTAAAAATTTTGTTTTTAATGTTGGGTCAAAAATTTTATTTTTTTAATGTTGGGTCAAAAGTTTTTGCAATAGGTTTGGGCAGATTTTAATAAGTTTGCGTAGATAATATTGGACTCAAATTCTTTTGTTTTAAATGGGTTAAATTTTTTAATTTTTTTGGGTAAATAATGTGGGCCTAATATAAATGAGGGACACACATAATATATTATATAAATATATAATATATATACCCTACTAATAAAATTTTTAATTTTTTTTCAACTCTGGACTTCAACCCACCTTATGATAAAAAGGAATTTCCTTTTTATAGGATCCAATAATGGTGCCAAAAAACTTGAGTACAGAAACATTTGGCATTATTTAAGTATTTTCTCTGAGATTCGAACTTGACAGCTCAAGGCTAAGAGCAAATTTCAACCAATCATCCAAGCATTTGATTTCCGATGCTCAATTTGCTATGAATTGAGATGTTCTTAGCCTTCACTCCCAATCATGTCGTCTTCACCCTATCAGTAGCCATCCCGATACCAGTATGGTACATCTTCCTTTCTTGACCTGTGTACGCTAAGCAAGGCTTTGAAGAAACTTTTACTTCTCTTGGAATTTGGTTGAATCTCTTTTTTTCTGTCCCTTTCTGGGTGAATGCACATGGAAACTGATCTTTGAGGCTCCGATGGGAACTGATTCTACAAGAACAGGGGTAAGAAACCTCGAATTAAAGCTTCTAACTAGTAGTAGTATGTGCTCCTCAAATGATCGATGTTCAGAATTCTATAGCAACTTCTCCAACTTTAGTTCTCTACTATATTTCAAAAGCAGAATCTACTTACTAAATGCTAACTGGTTTTGATGCTTACCCACTGTTTATCGTTACGACTTGGAGTATTCNTGTTCTATCCTTTATTGCTCTCAGAATGAACCATGTCAGAGTACCTGAGAAGAGTATCAGCCAAGTGACTGAAGGAGTGGTTCACTCGCTCAAAATGTATTGCAAGTGTTCACAGTTTAAGGAGCAAGCGAACGCCACGAGATCTTCATCTCAAATTAGATCTTGGTTTTCTTTAAGGCAACACGGAGGTTCCAAAGATACCAGGGGAAGCATTTACTGATGCATCATCCTTTGGAAATCAAATGGCAACGAGTTTTCCTATCACCAAGGGTGGAGCCAGGATTTTTGTTTTTTTCGGACTAATCTAAGTATTCATATGACTAATAAAATACAGATTTAAACTCATAAAACATAGCCCACTAATGACCTAAAAATTTGGTTTTTAATGTTGGTCCAAAAATTTTNATGCTTGAACAGCTTTAGCAAAACAAACATCATGAGAAAATTTCGTCAGTGTTTTTAACTACTTGAACATTGCACATAAGCAGTTAAAAAAAATACTAAGCAGGTGACTAAGTACTTTAAAAGACAACTGGAAATCAGGGTCTCACCCTTTGGGATGAGAAAAGATGTTTTTTTTTTTTTTTTTTTNTTTTAATTGTGGCCTAAAAATTTTGTTTTTAATGTTGGACCAAAAATTTTATTTTTTTAATGTTAGGTTAAAAGTTTTTGCAATAGGTTTGTGTAGATTTTAATAAGTTTGCGTAGATAATATTGGGCTCAAATTCTTTTGTTTTAAATGGGTTAAATTTTTTAATTTTTTTGGGTAAATAATATGGGTCTAATATAAATGAGGGACACACAGAATATATTATATAAATATATAATATATATACCTTACTAATAAAATTTTTTATTTTTTTTTTAACTCTGGACTTCAACCCACCTTATGATAAAAAGGAATTTCCTTTTTATAGGATCCAATAATGGTGCCAAAAAACTTGAGTACAGAAACATTTGGCATTATTTAAGTATTTTCTCTGAGATTCGAACTTGACAGCTCAAGGGTAAGAGCAAATTTCAACCAATCATCCAAGCATTTGATTTCCGATGCTCAATTTGCTATGAATTGAGATGTTCTTAGCCTTCACTCCCAATCATGTCGTCTTCACCCTATCAGTAGCCATCCCGATACCAGTATGGTACATCTTCCTTTCTTGACCTGTGTACGCTAAGCAAGGCTTTGAAGAAACTTTTACTTCTCTTGGAATTTGGTTGAATCTCTTTTTTTCTGTCCCTTTCTGGGTGAATGCACATGGAAACTGATCTTTGAGGCTCCGATGGGAACTGATTCTACAAGAACAGGGGTAAGAAACCTCGAATTAAAGCTTCTAACTAGTAGTAGTATGTGCTCCTCAAATGATCGATGTTCAGAATTCTATAGCAACTTCTCCAACTTTAGTTCTCTACTATATTTCAAAAGCAGAATCTACTTACTAAATGCTAACTGGTTTTGATGCTTACCCACTGTTTATCGTTACGACTTGGAGTATTCGATCTTTTAACAAGAGATCCAGAACGCTTGAGAGAAAAGCGAAGGGGTGAGGCTTCTTGTGTCCCTGATTTTAATTGAATGCAATCAATGCAACAATACTCCAAATATGTTTACGTCAATACACTTGAGATAGAATGAAGTCCTGCACTTACCTGTTTCTTTGGTGGATAGAACCCTTGTAAATGAAAATGTTGCAGGATTTGAAGGAGATTCAGTAGAAGACAGCCCCTTTCTGCATGCGTATCTAATATATTGAGCATGATCTTGGTGACGTTAAGCCAAAGATCAATCCATTATGATATTCTTAGTCAACATGAACACATACCTAAATGGTGATTCGACCTTCATGGTTGTTGCTTGAACAGCTTCAGCAAAACAAACATCATGAGAAAATTTCGTCAGTGTTTTTAACTACTTGAACATTGCACATAAGCAGTTAAAAAATACTAAGCAGGTGACTAAGTACTTTAAAAGACAACTGGAAATCAGGGTCTCACCCTTTGGGATGAGAAAAGATGTTTTTTTTTTGGGGGGGGGGGGGGG